CCCTTTGTTGTTACTAAACTTGTGACCAGGAAATAACTTTTAATATGTGTAAATTTCAGGAAGACTATTTTTAAGGTCCACATACAATCTTTAGAAACATTCTTAACACTGTGAAAAAATACCAAATGTAGGCAACTATAGGAATGAATTATTTTGATCCTGTGATAGTTACTTTTAACTGTTAACTTGACATAAACTAGAAACAACTGGAAAGAGAGCCTCCACTGAGAGATTATCAAGATGAACATGACCTATGAGCATGCCTATGAGGGACTATTGGTTGTCCATTGTTGTAGGAAGACACACCATTATAGTTGGCACCACTCCCTAGGCAGGAGGTTCTGAAGAGGATATGGGAAGAGAAACCTAGCTGAGAGAAGAAGGTAAATAAGCAGATGAGCATGTCTATATTTCATTTCTCTCTGTTCTTGATACTGAATGTAATACGACCAACTATTTCAGGTTCTTGCCTATGACATCTTTTGTAGAATTGACTGAAACCAGAAATTGTGATCTAAAATAAACCCTTTTGTAGGGTTATTTAAAAAATAAACACACCTTACTTTAATAAGTGTACTTAAACGTTTTAACCTCTCTTTTAGCCCATCACCCACCAGAGGTAGAGGAAAAGAAAGGTTAGTAGGGCAAAGGAGGATGTAAACCTGTTTTAAAATAGTTTTTTGTTTTTGGTGGGTTTTGGTTTTAGGTTTTTGGTTGTTTTTGGTTTTGGGTTTTGGGTTTTGGGGTTTTGGGTTTTGAATTTTGGGTTTTGGGTTTGGGGTTTTGGGTTTCAGGTTTCGGGTTTTGGATTTGTGTTTTGGGGTTTGTGTTTTTGGGGTTGGGGTTGGGTTGGGTTTTTTTTGTTTTTTGTTTGTTTGTTTGTTTGTTTGTTTTGTTTTTGCAGTGATTCCAATCTGCATTGTCAGGATATCAGCAGTTTAGTTCACAGCTGCAGTAGTTCAATCCATGATCCACTCACAAACACCATTCACAAATCAGCAATGGCAGTTCAATCCAGAAGAAATCGAAAAGTTCTACGAAGTGGGCTGGAGTTTGTGGAAGCAGCACAAACGATGACCAGCAAAGAATGGCAAGGCATACCAATACCACGTAGCATTGTTCACTTTTTACTGGTTTATGTTCATATCCTTTCCAAACATCATGTGTTTTGTCAAGCATTTGCTCTAACAAAACATTACATGCCCTTTTTCCAGGCTTCTTTTTGAAAAACACTGTGCTTACAGCTTCGCATAGCTGCAGCTTTGAAAGTTGGCCCTCATCATCCTGGTGGTAGCTCTGCCTCATGCTTGAATTTTAAGATGAGAGGCTCGAGCTTGCTGCTCCAGTAGCTATGCCTGCCTCTCGCCCTGCTTCCACACCAGGGTGGTAATGAATCTTTATCCTACTGGAACCATAAGCTCAAATAAACCCTTCCTTCTATAAGGAAGGTTCATTATCATGGGGTGTTATCACGGTCATCCTGACAGTATTCTCCATTTGGTGCTTCAAAGTTTAGAAAGACAAGGGATTCTGGGATCTTTCCCATTTCAGAGAGCCACTGCTTCTTAGTATTGTGTGGCAGGGCAGTCCCTAGGTGAAAGTTGTGAGAGGCAAGAGGCACTGAGAGGTGTGGAACTGAAGCCTGAGTTGTGCTACAGAACGCAAGATGTTAAAAATGGCAGGACCATGAGATATCTGCCAAGGAGAACTGCAGACAGGGAGTCAAGCAAGCCCAAGAGAAATGCATGTTATGAACAGCAAAACTGGAATACCAACTCCATCTAAGCCCTTTGACATTAGCCAGAGAGCCAGAGAGCTCAGTGTTTGATTACTTTTAAGTATAAGGATAGTGAAAAATAGATTAAGCCTAGAGACATTATAAAATGTCAAATAGTTTTCTCAGAAAGGAGATTTTACTTCAGTGTCAGCACAAATATAAAGTTTTACATGTATTTAAGAAAATTTTAGATTTGTGAATGCACATATATGAAATTCATGTACACACTATTTTCTAAAAATTAAAAATAAAAAGTCACCTCCTTGAGAACAATTATTTCTGGTTTATAAATTAAACATTACTTATTCAGTTAAAAAAATAAAGCCCAAAAGTATTAGTTAGGCAATTATGACTGAACTGAAACTGATTGATTTTCTTCAAAATGTTTCTCCTTTCTCCTTAAAAGTAGTTAGAACTTTCTCTAGCATATCTTAATCTTATCACTTTTCAACAGTCTTCTCAAACGTACAAAGAGCTTAAAAGCTTTCAAAGTTATTATTTAAAGATTCCTTCATCCAACTCCTCCCCTTAAGGTTTGGGAGAGTCTGTGGAAGAGGAGAGAGCTGTAGGTGATTAATGATGATCCTCCAGATACAACAGGACATATACGTTCAGAACGACTGTGTTAGCATGAACTAGACCTGCTCAGGATCAAACAAGAAGGGTCCTAGCATGGAGTTTCCACTGGCTTTCACTTGGGTCCCAGCAATGAGTTGGGGAAATGGATATGGAGCCCCATCCCTACGCAAGAAGCTATCTACCCTTGATATCCACTAACAAAAGGAATATCAGTTTCTCCAATAAAGCATCACTAGGTGCATCAACAACACTGGAGGGGCGGCCCTATGCCCAGGAATAGTTGGACAATACAAATAAACTCCATTTGTAGATATATGCTTTTTATTTTGTTTTGCTTGGGAACTTTTTGTATTACTGGACTCTTGGTTGTTTGCTTTGATTTTCACTTTTGTGGGAGTTTTGGTAAGAGAGAGAAAGGATATAACTTGGGTGAGGAAAGGAGGGTGAGGAGGATTGAGGAGAAGTTGCTGGAAGAGAAAATATAATCAAACCATATTGTATAAAAGGTTTTTTAATTAAGCAGATGGGGAGGATAGATGATTCAGAAGTTAGAACAATTGTTGTTCTTCAGAATACTGAAGTTTGGTGCCCAATATCCATGATATTACCTGTAATTACAGCTTCATGGGATCTAATTCCCAGCTCTAGTTTCAGCAGGCATCTGTACATATACACATAGACATAACATATTTTAAAAAAATAAAGACTTTTGTTCAGATCGTATAAGTTTTAACTTCATGAATTCTCATCTATGAAATGTATGTTAAATAAATATTGAATATAACTGATATGCAAGTTATCTGACATGTACCCCTGTGGGGGTCACACCCCACAAATTCAGTTGTTCTAGCAGATGGTGACTTGTATGAGGAAATGCTAAGAATTCAGATTAGCTTGCTAGATCAAGGTAAGCAGCTGCAACAAATGATAATGACTGAAATGTGAAATTTCTTAAAAGTATTAGGGCTAGAATAATTTTAATTTAGTAACACTTATGAGGAAAAAGGATTTCTCAATCAAAATACCCAGCAGAAGAACATTTCTGAGTAAATACTATCACATACTTTAGAAATAACTCACTTGTGACAGTTAATATTTATTATCTTTAAGGTAAGTTTATTTATGGGAAGTTAAAATAGCATCCAATTAACAGACATGGGTTGTTTAGATTTTCTATTTCTCCTTGTGTCAATTTTATCATATTATTTTTTTGTAAAATTTAATTTTTGTCTTTTATGTGAATGTAATTGTCATGAAATATTTTTATATACTGCCTATTTTCCTTTTCATGTCACAGGATATAGAATAATCCCCTTTCTTTCATTTTTGATGTTATTAATTTGCATCTTCTCTCATCCTTTTGAAAATCAAATGTGATAGAAGCTTATAAATTTCATCCATCTTTTCAAGTAACCTTTAGATTTGTTAGTTGCTTTATTGTTTACCTTAAATTTCATTGTTTCCTGTTTGATTTTTATAATTTGTGCAAGGTTTTTTGTTTACTTTTTGGTTTGGGGGTTTTTTGTACTTGCTTGGGGTTCTTTTGTTTTTGTTTTGTTGTTATTTTTTAATAATGTGTTGAATATAGTCTTGTTTAAATCTACATTGGTCTAGTTAATTGGTGGTTTTTTTTCTTTAAATGTCCTACGTCTAGAATTGTCCTCATAATAGCTTCCTTTTCTATGTTGGAGAGGCCCCTGTCTTTATGAACATCATCTTGTGCATAAAATTTTTCTTACAAAACACATATTCCAACATCTAGAATCTTTCTTTAAAGATTTATTTTTATTTTTAAATGTGTCTATATTGGAAAAGGTTATGCCTATGTAGGTTGTTACCCACGGAGGCCAGAAAGAATGTCAGATGCTCTGGAGCTGGAGTTACAGGCAGCCATGTTCCACCTAATGTGGGTGTTAGGGACTGAACCAACGTCCTCTCCATAGCAGCACAGGATCATGACCACTCAGCAATCTCTTCAGTGTAAATCTTCTCCTTTTGGTGCAGCCAATTAATCCAACTAAAAATTAATTGTTCATGTTTTTACTTTAGGCTGAACTCTGGTTTGTTTTGTACATTCACAGTTCAGAGGCCAGTTAGTAATTTAAGAATAGTTTGCATTCAGACTGAGAACTCCCCTCTGGCCTCTTCTTCTTTGTAGAATTTCATAATTAGTTTCCAGTTACTCTGTAGCCCTAGATTATCCAATAATGTTAGTAAATGAATGTATTCTCAGTTTATGAAAAAGCATACATCTGGAAGCTGAATTTTCATAGAATTTGCTTTGTAAGCAAGAGGACCTGATTTCAAGTCCCTAGCACTCATGTCACACACCAGCATCATGACAAAAAGACAGGTGGATTTGAAGAGCTCACTAGCCAGCCAGTCTAGCTGAAGTCCCGGTTCACGTGAAACCTTGCCTCAAAGTAATAAACTGACTAGCAATAGATGAAGATGCTCAATGTTTGACTCTGACTTCAGCATGAATACATAGATTCACATACTTGTACACATGTAACACAATTAATTGAGATCTCAATAACCTATACTTCCTTATATTTCAGTATTAAAGTCATCAGGTATATTGTCAGCATGCAAAATAAACACAATGATTAGTGTTTTTTCTTCTCTGGTATAAAAGACCAACCTTTTGTCTGGCTTCAGGTCTTTCTTGATAGATTGTATATCTTTCTTCTTATAGGGTCTCTGGAAAGAGTTGAGATAAGAAGAAAATAACTTTACTACGTATAAACTTTTAATTCATTTATTTTCTGTTATAGTTTCAAATGAAGAATAAATCTTCATAATAAAAATATATTTATATTCTAATGTATATCATAAACCCAAATATCCATATGAATATGTATGCATGCTCAAAGTAGTGTAATTGATGAATCTTCTTCAGTGTATTTTTGTACCCAGATATATAACTCCAAGTAATAACTTTGGCAAGCAAGTGTTTTGTAAATGTATTATAGATAAAATTTTATTTATTTGACTCTGCAAATAAATCTTTATCATTTTATAAAACATTTGATGTAACATTTTACAAAACAAATACCGTCTATGAAAAATGAAAATAACTTTAAATCAGGTTAATGAGGAAATATAAGTGAAGAATGATGTAAAATACTTCCTGATATTACTTGGTATATCTTATCAGATTTAGATATCAAATTTCTAGCTGTCAGAGAATTATGGACATTACCCTCAAATTCTTAAGGCCTTAATTCTTATTATTTTTTCTCAAAGGTTTCAAAACTGTGTGAAGTTCAAGGGTGAGGATCTAATCCAACTGGGCTGATGATCTTGTAAGAAAAGGAACCAGCACCAAAATAAGATCCTGTGATGATGCAAGGCAAAAAGGCAAAAAAGTTCCAAATAATGGGAGATAAATCCTTTTGCTGGCAGCATAAGCTTAGACTTTCAGCTTCCAGAATTATGAGATATCTAACTCTGTTTGTTAAGCCACATATATTTTTGTGCTTTGTTAGCAGAACCCAAAAGACTAGCGTAAAAACACCCAGAAAAACAGTTCAGTAAGAGAAACCAATTTACATTCAGTGAAAAATGTCTTCCATATGTCATTCAAAACAAGGCTGGTGTAAGGTGCTAGAGTCACTCTCAGTGACTCTATCAAACAATGTTTGATACTCAGTTTTCTTATACATTTCTTTAATACTAATCAATTATAAGAGTAGATGGGTAGACCACCCTGTAATAGCTTTGAATAACCAGTCATCACCTCTGACTACTGTGAGGCAAAGGTGAAGCAAATCCATTTCACCTACTTCATAATTGCCCATGATCTTTACTTTTAAAAAAATAGCTATGAGAAATTTGAAGTAATCCTGATAACTGAGTGAAAGATGGAACAGGGGAGGTTGTTGTTAACGAAAGGCTTTGTGGTATAGTACAGCATGTGGATACTATCTGGAAAATCTGTCTTTTCTATTCACATTTAAGCTTCAAGTTTGTCTTTGATAACTAAAGCCAAAACATATCTTGTATAAATCCTCAGAAAATATAAAAGGCAACATAAAGATGTTGCAATTGTCTGAACGTATAGGTTGTTTATTTAAAATCTTAACTCTCACCTACAAAACTAAGCTTCATTTTACATTATATTTCTTCAGATACAATCTTAGTTGTATATAGTCATGCTTTCTTGTGATATTTACTTCTAAGTACTAAGATACCCTTTCTACAATTACATTAGAAAGATGAGAACTTCATAAGTGAAGAGATATTATGTTTGTCTTTTTGGGTCTGGGTTACCTCACTCAGGATTATCTTTTCTAGTTTCATTCATTTGACTGCAAATTTCATGATGTCATTGTTTTTAACAGCTGAGTAATATTCCATTGTGTAAATATAACACATTTTCTTTATTTTTCAGTTGTGGGACATTTAGGTTGTTTCTAGTTTCTGACTATTATGAATAAAGCTGAAATGAACATAGTTGAGCAAGGGTCCTTGAGAAACGACGAAGAATCCTTCCAGTATATACATAGCAGTGGTATAGGTAGGTTTTGAGATAGATTGACTCCCAACTTCCTGAGGAATCTCCATATTAATTTCCATAATGGCTATTCAAATTTACACTTCCACTAGAAATGGAAGAGTGTTCCCCTTGCTGCACAACCTCACAACTCTGAGCTGTTACATGTTTGTGTTCCTAACCATTCTGAGAGGTGTAAGACAGAATCTCAAAATAGTTTTGATTTTAATTTCCCTGCTATCTATGGGTATTGAATATTTCCTTAAGTATTTCTTAGCAATTTGAAGTTCTTGTTTCAAGTTTTCTGTTTAAATATGGTGAATCCCATTTTTAATTGGATTATTTGGTTTGTTGATGTCTAGTTTCTTGAGTTCTGTATATTTTGGATATTGCTACTCAATAAAGAATAATCGTGCTACAATCCACAGACCCAGCGTGGCTAAGGAACAAGGAGTGCTCAAAGGCTGATGCATGGATCTCCCTGGGAAGGAGGAATGAAATGAAACTTGCAGGTGAAATTAGGGAAGGTAGGTATGGGAACAGAAGAGATAAGCTCAGAGATGGAAAGGGCAGAGATAGAGAGCCCTGGTAAAGACGACTGGATTCTACAAGATTTACCCTAACAAACTCTCCTAGTAATGGAGAATATGGAGCCCAAACTGTCTATCTTCTATAACCAGGCAAGTCTCTTAGTAGTGGAACTGGGAGATCAACCGAACCACAAAGTCTTTGACCTATAATCTGTACGTCTGCAAGATGTGCTGGAGTAAAGATGGCACAGAACTTGTAGGAATAGTTGTACTGGCTGGTTTTGTGTCAACTTGACACAAGCTGGTGTTTTCACAGAGAAAGGAGCTTCAGTTGAGAAAATACCTCCATGAGATGTAGCTGTAAGGCATTTTCTCAATTAGTCATCAAGGGGGGAGGGCCCCTTGTGGGTGGTACCATCCCTGGGCTGGTAATCTTGTGTTCTATAAGAAAGCAAGCTGAGAAAAAGGGAAAAGCAAGCCAGTAAGTAACAACCCTCCATGGCCTCTGCACCAGCTCCTGCTTCCTAACCTGCTTGAATTCTAGTCCTGACTTCCTTCGGTGATGAACAGCAATGTGGAAAGTGTAAGCTGAATAAACCCTTTCTTCCCCAACTTGTATCTTGGTCATGTTGTTTATGCAGAAATACAAACCTTGACTAAGACAAATAGCCAGCCAGTAACTAGCCCAACTTGAGGTCCATGTCATGAGAGGGAGCCTATGCTTGACACTGCCTAAAAGGACAGAAACAAGAGATAAGTGCAGCCCAGAGACCCAGGACAGAGCCAAACAGGACTGACAAAATATAAAAATGAAAAGTCAATGAAATGGAAGATCCTCTCCCAGAGCTAGCAGTGGTGAGTTGCCTGTAGTCCCCTGACCTCCATTGTCTGGCACTAGGCTCACTCTTTGATCCTGTGGAGACTTGGGGAACACCAAGGACATACTGCTCCCCTATGGAGGCCTCTGGGGCCCCAAGTCTAACCAGCTTGAAACAGTACCCCACCAATCCTTTCCCAGGTGGGTCTTTCTGGAGCACAGTTGGCAGAGGTGAGTTTAAGGCAGTCTACTGACCTCCTCTAACTAGCATCTGGCTTGCCCTTTGGTCCTGAGGAGCCTTACAGAACTCGAAGAGCTTCTTCTTTACCCCATGGAGGGAAGCAGGGGCTCCAAGAACTACCAGCTTTGGAACATTGCCCCACAAATCCCTTGCTAGTGGGTTCCACCAGAGGCATAGTTAGCAGAGTCCAGTGTCCTGACCTCCACAATCAGGCTTATGGCTCCCTCTGCCTTCCAGAAAAGTCCTGCTGTCATCAGGATCATACAGCCAACACCAGGGAAAAACAGATGCCTATAGGACAGCATAAGAACACAATCAACAAGAGCCAGGCACCACCAAAGCCCCTGTTGCAGCAAGCCATGGATATCCTAACTAATCTGAACCACAAGAAGATGATCTTAAATCCAATCTTATAAAGATAATAGGGGTCTTTAAAGAAGAAATGAATAAATCCCTTAAATAAATACAGGAAAATACAATCAATCAAACAGGTGAAGAAAATGGATAAAACTGTACAAGAGCTGAAAATGGAAATAGCAGCAATAAAGAAAAGACAAGCTGAGGCAATCCTGGAGATGGGAAAACATCGGAAAGAAAACAGGAACTACAGACATAAGCATCACCAATAGAATATAAGAGATGAAAGAGAGAATCTCAGGCATAAAAGAAATTAAAACACTGGTCAAAGAAAATGTTAAATCTAAAAGTTCATGACACAAAACATCCAAGAAATCTGGGACACTATGAAAGACAATCTCCCCATTCCATTTCAAGAAAGATATTGGGCATCAATACCTCCATGTGGAGGGGCTTCAACTGTGCCAGGCTAGCCACTGGACAAGAAATGTCCTAATTATATCTGCAGACAGAATGCTGTCTAAAAAGGTCAAATGGATGCAGAATAGTTGACTGGTAAACTCTGCCAACACAGGGCAAGCTAGTTCTTCATAATTTCTGCTTCACTTAAGGTCTGTCAGATATCCTGGGACAGAAGGCTGCAGATAGGCTAAAACATTAATAGGAACATTAGGGATTATCAAGGTAGTCTCCGTCAATTGTTTAAGTTTTGGAAGCTGTGTCTTTGTGCTTCCTGCATATTCAGGCAATATTTAATTCCTTTACAGATCTTTACACAATTCTTTACAGATCTTGAAATAATAATTCTCAACTTCATATGTAAAAGCAAAAAACTCAGGATAGCCGAAATGGTCTGAAGAGTAACAGAACTTCTGAGGAATCACTATCCCTGACTTAAAGCTGTACTATAAAACAATAGTAATAAAAATTACATGCTATTGGTATAGAATTAGACAGGTACAGAATCAATGAGACAGAACTGAATACCCATAAATAATGTTCACACACCTATGGACATTTAATTTTTGATAAAGAAGCCAAAACCATACAATAGGAAAAAAAAGAGAATCTTCAACAAATGGTGCTTGTCTAACCAGATGTCTGTGTATTGAAGAATGCAAACAGATCTATATTTATCACCCTACACAAAACTCAAGTGCAAGTGGATCAAGGACCTCAACATGAAACCAAATACATTAAATCTAATACTAGAGAAAGTAGAAAATTGCCTTGAACAAATTGATACATGTGGGGCCGTGA